TTAACCCCTTGCATTAACTGTACCAATTAAATCGACTTTAAACCTAGCTTTAACATTAGCGGTAAACATATCCGTTATTTACCTGAAATTTGGTGTAAAGCCAATTGTGTTACGGGCGGTTGCGCTGCCCATGTCCTGCTCTTTGCCTTATATTCTTTACTATGCGGGTTTTGCTTCTTGGTGAATTGCATTGGCATCACATGATCTTTTTTCGAAAGTGTAACTGTGATCCATTAATCTAAAAATGTTTTGCCATGATTGCCCTACGAACCTATAATATTTTGACTTTCGGAAATCGTTCGCGGTGCTTACATCCCTTTCTCCCTATTGCTCTCTCTCTTTCTTTTTGTCCATCTCTACTAAAGTGGGCGATTTCGACCTATGTATGCTCGGAAAATCCTATGAATAAATATCATACAAAAGCGGCAGTGGAAACTGGCCAGTCTTTGTCTCCTTCAAAACTTAGTACTTGTCCCCTTTCCATTTCCCGTGCGACAGGTAATCATTACTATGATGGACACTTTCTTTCTGACCTAATTGCTGGCCTAAACGTCATCGAAGACTGGGAATCATACCCGATATCAAAGGATGTTATTTCGCGATCTGTTTTCTTCACATCGGGTCTTGGCTTCATTTATCCTGCTAAGTGAGTCCTGATTGTTTTATACTGTCAACGGCTGGACAAAGGCTGACGTCATATTTTCGTCTTTGTCCTTTGCCTTCGATTATTTTTGTCGCGTCCACCAGTTTTATAACCAGCGTGCGTAAGTTTTAATACGTGTATTCCTTATATTACCTAGCGCAAGGTAAGCACACTCACGGACGTGGGTCGAGGGTCAGTTGAAACACATAAGCCTCGTAATTACGGCATGTATTGCTACAGTACACTCGTGAATATTTGGAACAGGACTGCAAAATTAACGATGCACACTTCCTTAAACGCTGACAGTAACGGTTGCAAAACATGTTATTTATGTTGTCTGGCACCTCTTCTCCTTTAATTGGACTCAGACTGTATCTGTCTGATTAACCTGTATATGCTGTCGTCCGACTGAATGCTGTGCTTTTATTAGGCCTGCAGCTACGATGGTAGGGCACGGTCTGTGCTACAAGGTCTGATGCCGACAGATGTTAATCCTATGAAAGACTTTTGCCCATGCATATATGGTCGTATCCACCCCCTCCTAACTAAACTTGGACTTTATGGACTATATTTTGAGTTTTACTCAGTGCAGATTGCGCGGATGATAGGCGACTGAAAACCCACATAAAAAGACAGCAGAAGCTAAATGACCCTTCTATGGCCGGCTGACGAGTCAGGTATCGGCCGCTCCCTGTGAGCAGTTTCTACAAACATGTCAGACTCTCAAGGCGTATCTCAGCTTAACCAAACCACGGCTGACCCGGTAGTTGGATCTCGAATGCAAATGTTATGGGTAGCGCCAGCATTGGGGCGGACGCTAACGCGTTCAAGACATATCGCTCCCTCTCACTCCCTCCTGCCCCCTCGCTAACCTGAATACTGACTTAGCGCCTACCTAATGCCGATAGAGGACGCATCCAAAGGTTAAATGGTAGTCGTTGCCGTGATTTTCGAATCCCCCCTCCCTTGCAACCCAACCGAGACCACAAAATGTCGCCGTCGAGACAAGTTTGCCGTCGAAGCTCTTCAAACTTCCGAGTAGAAAACTTCTGAATGTTCGAAATTCTAGGACAATAATCAAACAGCCCATAGGATGGTTTGTACCCATAAACCACTGATTTCTAGCATTTAGTCTCTCGTTAACTTAAATTATTCTCATTTGCATATCAATTACCCTCTGTACCCCCTTTGACTTTTCAGTCGTTTGCCGTGCCACTTTATTAGTCTGTAGCGTAGGAAGCAATTGACGTCCCAAAAGTAGGTAACTTTAAGGCTTTTCAGTTAAAGATACAAGTTTTCGGGATAAAAGGACGTGCGTTTACCTTTTATGTGCTAATAAAACTGAGCTGATAAGTTTTTCTGGATAAAAGTTTGTTAAGGCAATAAAGACAAAGACCGCTATTTCCGATAAAATCAATATTGCAATGCAATAGATATAACTCAACTTCCTCCATAAATCTTCAGACTCCACGGATTTGAAGAGGACTTGACTGCAGATTTTGCAAACTCCTCACTATGGCAACGAGTTTTGGACTCAGAGGGTCTGCTCTTTTGGATTCAACCAAAAATGGAAGGTGAGGTTTCAGGGACTTTTCGTGTTCCCATTCGTGTCTGTTTTGATAAAACTAAACTGGACGAGCCGTCGCAGACAATTTTTTAAAGCTTATCTTCCGTCTTTCTTTCGCCAGATCCAAAGCTTCCAGAGCCTGTTCTGTCCCACAGGCAACCAAACAACAGCACGACTGGCAACGGCAATAACACACACGTTTTCTCGATGCCAAACAATTCCACTATGTGGACGGATGTTCCAGTCTTTGAAGCTTCGATCCCCGTTGCTCCGCTTCCGCGCGTTACCATTTTTAAGGGGATTTCGGCTTCGCAAAACGACATTTCCAACACATTTGCAGGTTGAATTCTTTGTTCTACTATTTATTAATTTGCTACTATTACTAGTGAGTAACACTTATTGTAACTTTGGCTTTGCCCTGCGATCTACAGCCGTTTATTTTTCTCTTTTCAGTTGCCGGCCTGACATTGCAAGAAACATATCTGCAATCCAGGCTCTCTGAGTTTCCTGAGTGCAGTGGGGACAAGGTCTGTTACCTTTTAGACGACGCAGCCTTGATTCTCGCTGCAAACAAACCCACCCTCAATTATCAGGTAAGCTTTATTATTTTAATTACTTTGGAAATTCGGTAAGTTGAACAGGGACAGGCATTATCACTTTCTCTTTGAAAATTTTTATGAATGTTCAAGTCATGTTTGATTAATTTCATCATAACAGTTGATCACCCCACACATCAATTGAGGCAATTTTAAGTCTAGAATCTATCTGCCAGACAAGATATTTTTGGTGTTCAGAGTAAAGTAAAACGAACCCGCTCTGATTACAGTCAAGAGTCACTCTTGAGAGGTAGTGGCCATGGACAGATGCTTACGAGGTCGCGCAATTCTATAACGTCAATAGGTGTTGCACATTTCGCTGCCTTCGCCTTGTGCAAATTTATTCTGGGAAAACATATACAACTATTAAATATTTGCGGGGTTGGTGTTATCAGCAAACCTATTAACACACCCTAAGCCTAACGGATGCATTTTTTTAGTGAACCAGATACAAGCACATGCGCCTAGACAACTTTCCACAATATGCAGCGGTTCAAACCCAAATGACTATTCGCGTACTAAAGAGCGCTTGTTTCTGCGCCTTCAATGCATATGCATCTGGTGACGGGAATAATCCCATTGGTGTGTTTCTGCATGAAAACTTCGAATTATGCAACTGAAGCATCGTCTTTTCTCCTCTAAGGTCGGGCATTTTCTCGGCTCCGCTGATCCCTGGCTGATGCAAGAACTGCTGGCCAATATGGTGTACAACAGGTATAGTTCGATTATTGATATTTTTTACTAATTTGAAGCATCTTTATGTTGCTCGAATACAGTCACAGCACAGAAATGCAGATAGACTTGTTCTTACGTCTATAGATTCTCCTGTTCCTATTCAATTTTGAAAAGTTTTCTAGCAGGTCTTGTGGGTTAGCCTATCTATTGTGCAAATTATATCATGACTGTTGTAGGCGACAGTGGTACCCACTTGTTCGGGTGCACTACCACCGGTGGCTTGCAAGCAAATTAGTTCATAATACGGCAGGCGTGTGTTATATCCATCAAAATCTCTCGTTCCTCATTCAGTTTTCTCCGATAGAAAGACGATGTGAAGAGGACTGAAGTTGGGCACGGAAGCAATTGCTTGCAAAGCTAAACAGCTCATCTACGCGGGCCACACACGACTTGGTAATCGCAACAAGCTAAGCGGTTGACAGGCTCTATATGCACGGGCGATGTACGATGGATGC